ACACACGCACACTCACACATGTCGCAAGTGTGGGTAAACAATATTGCTTGAATTAGATCTGACGTGCCTACGTAGATGTTTGCAAAGGTAATTTTCGGTATATTTGCTTAGAAAGGTCTCAAATAGGTGTAGCAAAGACAATCAACTGGGTTATCTGTTACCGTAATGAATCGAATTTATTTTGACAAAGGTTAAACAAGTTTTGAATATGCATAACTCATTTCATAATGCGAAATATATTTTTAAGGTTCTCTCTCCAAGATTAGGCGAGTCACTCAAACGAACAGTGGTTTACAAGAACCTTAGAATTCTCTCCCTTTTACTCCACTAAAACCGCAAGCCACCAAAGTCTCTTCCCTTTAAATGAATAAAACATAATCTGGAATACTCTTACCTACACATAACACTTCCCACAAATCCTCTCTCCACAGCACCGATGCCCCACAAGTACCGCGTGAAGGTGGGGTCCAAACCGAAGGGCGTCGCCAACAGGAACGGCGGCCTGGAGTGGGTGAGGAAGCACGCCACCAGCGGAGTGATATACTTCGCGGATGACGACAATACCTACGACATTAGAGTGTTTGAAGAGGTGAGTTTAAACGCTCATAGAGATACTGATAGATACTGCACACACGCGCGCGCGCACACACGCACACACACACACACACACACACACACACACACACACACACACACACACACACACACACACACACACACACAAAACATTCACATCTCCCTTCGCTTCAGATGCGGTACACCAAGCGCGTGTCCATGTTTCCCGTGGGCCTCGTGACCAGCAAGGGGCTTTCGACGCCAGTTGTGAGGAACGGGAAATTCGTCTCCTTCTACGACGGGTGGATCAGCCGTCGGAAGTTCCCCGTGGACATGGCCGGCTTTGCTATCAGCGTGAATTTCTTGCTGAAGGTACGAGGCGCGATTTTACAATCTGTAGACCCGGAGAGCGTGGAGGTGCCAAGTGTCGCTAGCCGGATATCCATTTTTTTCATATAAATGTCATGATCAGATAAACTCAATCTGAAAAGTGTATGTTTTATGATGATGTAATTATAATACATGAAAACAGTTTTATGTAGAGCATGTAATTATGATACATGAAAACCATACGACAAAGACATAATGCTATTACAAAGAAAATATAAATGATATTACTCTGTAGAGAGAGAATTTATATTTACGTCCACATCATAACTTTAACATAATTTATAAAATAGATTTATAGTATAAATATCTTCTATAGTATTATCTGAATGTAGAATATAGCTACAGGGTCTAGCTATAGGCCTACCCAAGATATCATGTCCACATGGAATGTAGACTAAGATTACCACTTATTAAATCAAGCGATACCTTGAAAAGGCGAATAATGTATCTAATAGGCATAATAATGATCAAAGCATAATATAGGCCAGATTTTTTTCACATCAATCACTAAAACTACCTTATGGTCTTTAATAATTTGTGCATGCAAATGAGATTCGGAAATGTAGTGCAAAAACTATGGCTATTTAATCTGTCCTTATTCCTTGCCTTCGTAAGCGTTTCCAACCTCAGGTGATGATTGTAGGATAACAGTATGGGCAACAGTAAGTTATAGTTACTTTTTCTTTGATATAACTCTATAAGTGAATAGCATGTAGTATCCCTGTGTTATGACACACCAACATAACCATAGGTATCGTATAATTGGAATGATAAATAGGAAATACAAAGCTGTTTTAAAAAATACATGATCTTTAGGCTCCCAATTGTGATTACACAATTTAGTTTAATCTATCATTTTGGTATGGAAATAAATCCGGAGTAATTGGGTGTTTCTGTGGAGACTCCAATATATGTCCACAAAATGTACACAAAAGTAGTCATCATTATAAATCCATTGTTTCTTCGTAATATTTACTTTTTCCATTGTATGGTTTATAATTAATCACGACGTATTTGTGTGTAGATAAAACGTTTAGAATAACCGGCTAGCGACACCTGGCATCCCTACGCTCTTTTGACGTACAGTTTGTAAAATCGCGAATTATTCGCTGTAGAAGAAATTGATGATGGTGAAAAATGATGATGATAAGAATGACAATAATGCTAATAGTAATTGACGATAATGATGATAATGATAATGGTAATGTTGATAATAATAATAATGATGATAATTAAATGATAATGATAATAATAATGATAATTACATTGTGTATGTGATGATGATATTTGATCAAGAATGATAAAACAGAAATGCTAATAATACACTGCGTATGATGATATATTTGAAGATGATACAGAATACACGAAATATGAAAACTTATTCAACAGAATCATACACAATTTACTCCCTATCTATTTGTAAATACACTCGACCCATGGACCCCATAGGCAGAATATAATATGAACATGCATGCCCTTCTAGGCGACCTTGAAGAAACTCTCATTATGAACTAAACCAGCTTTGACTGACGTGTAGTTCAGTGCATATGGTACAATTACGTCAAAGCGGGATTACATAGGATACGCTGCAGTATATTTTGTACAGGGCAAAAATATACCCTTTAAATAAAAATGCCTAATTGACGGCGTGTAAAGGGGGGGGGGCATAGAGAGAGTATCTGAGTGATTGGATATGTGTGTATGCGTTGTGTGTTGAGTGTGTGTGTGTGTGTGTGTGTGTGTGTGTGTGTGTGTGTGTGTGTGTGTGTGTGTGTGTGTGTGCGTGTGCGTGTGTGTGTGTGTGTGTGTGTGTGTGTGTGTGTGTGTGTGTGTGTGAGTGTGTGTGTGTGTGTGTGTGTGTGTGTGTGTGTGTGTGTGTGTGTGTGTGTGTGTGTGTATGTGTGTGTGAAGGTGTGTGTGTGTGTGGTGCGTGTGTGTGCGTGTGTGTGAGTGTGTGTGTGTGTGGTGTGTGTGTGCGCGTGCGTGCGTGCGTGCGTGCGTGCGTGTGTTGTGTGTGTGTGTGTTGTGTGAGTGTGTGTGTGTGTGTGTGTGTGTGTGTGTGTGTGTGTGTGTGTGTGTGTGTGTGTGTATGTGCGTGTGCATTGAGTGTGATGTGTGTGTGTGTGTGTGAGGGTGGTCGTTGCAGAAGAGCTGGGTTTAAGACACAAGAAAACCAGTGTACTATTCCAAGGAAGTGGTGCACCGGTAGGCCTATTCACACTGCCAATGATCATGTGTACTGTTCACTGAGTTTACATGCTAACCTAGGATTTACCAGCTCTTCTATGGGTAGGCAAATTGTTTAGACGTATATTGAATTTCCTATCCACATTATGCACTGTGGATAATAGTTATAATCGGAAATAAGGCCTCTTGCAAACTATGATATATATTCCAAATGCCTGGATAATTGATTCTATAAACTATCACTATATAGGTTCGCAACACACACACCTGCACCTGGGCTGATGAACCAGCTTTCCCCGTTCACGCCGTCATTTTCAAGGCATTCTCCGTTATCATGCTCATTTCACACGGCGTGATCTTGCCAAAATGCGAGCCGTCAACGTAAATTGACCCAGGAACAGAATGCTGCTTAGATAACAGCTTTTAAAACTGACGTGTTTGAGGTAGTTCTCGATCGACGCGCATGGTGGATATTTATGTATGTAAACATAAACAAGCTAGTACCAGTGACAAAATCTTTGGCCATTTGTCAAGCGTGCACTTAGCATAATTTTCCGCGTCAGGATGGTGTCTGTTAAAATATTCTACTTTTTCTTCAAATTTCCATGAACATAGACGCAAAAACATGTAGACACGTGCACACACACATACACGCACACACTCACATACACACACATGCATTCATTCTGTGGCGGCCTAAATCCGAACTCGTATATTTTAAATAGTTCCAAGATGGCGACCCGCCATAACGCAAGTCATATGCCCCCCTCACGCCTCCGCGAGGGAGAGCGCCTTGACCTGGTTTCTCACCCATGAAATCCTAGGGAGAAGGAGTCCTGTCACAATACCCGCAACACCTCCAGACGATCACGCGTTTCACACCAAGAAAGAGCCTTAGCCATATCACCAGGCACCGCTTTCACTAGCCTAATAGGACACTCTTTAAGAACACACAAGAGGCTCTTATATTCTTTTATCGCTGGAGTCCCTACGCTTCCTCCCCCCCCCTTTCCCTAACAAGTCACCAGACACTCCTTTATTGAAAAACATGTTATTTTCGCTAGTTTGAATATACTGCAGTGTTATCTCTATAATTTCACTCTGACTTTACCAGTGATATATGTATTAGAATACACACCTGTACGGTTCGTAAAGAGAGCTCATCCAAGCGCGTTTTTATTATTACTATTACTATTACTATTATCATTACAATTATAGAAGGACATGTAAAGTTCAACACTCGGTCTAAATGCCCGGAGATGGTGGATTGGGAGTGTAAGTGTAAGCGTGTATCTAACTCCTCTTCGACCCCCCCCCCTACTGCAGAGACCGGACGCGAAGATGCCCTTCGTGCCAGGCTACGAGGAGGACGGCATGCTGAAGAGCCTCAACATCACCATGGACGAGGTCGAGTTCGTTGCTGATAATTGCTCAAAGGTAATTGCAGTTCCGTTTTTTGTTGTTGTTGTTGTTGTTGTTATTGTTGTTGGGAATGCTAAAGTTTGTACATCAAAACATGCACGCAAACACGCGAACGAAGAAACATAAGTATTTATACACAATCGTAGGTACACACGCAAATATATGGACAAGCAGGTACATTTATGCTTACGGCATACAAACACACACGCGCACGCACGCACGCACGCACATACACACACACACACATACATATGCACGCACACACACACGCACACAGATACACATGCGCGCGTACACACACTGTAATGCAAATACAGATCTAATCACAAGTACAGACATGTGCTGTACGCGCATAATAACAAAACACCTGTAATCAAATCATTATGATACATACTCAGCATGCAATGTGTGTGAGTACATATGTATGTATGTATATACATTTTTTTCCATTTAAAAACAACTATATCACAGGTCATAATTCTATTCTACACTGAAAAGCCTGCATGTTATTTGTGATTTTGCAGGTGTATGCGTGGCACACGAAGACAGGGCCCTCCCCTCAAGCCGCGAGGACCATTCTGAGTCCCGAATACAATGACACGAATCTCCGGATGATACGAGACACGCTGATAATGAAAAAAAAGTAATGGTATTGAACTTGTAGTGGAATATGGAACCCAATACTTCTATAACAAGTGTAATTGCTTCAGCAGTGTGATCTAGTCATGAAGCAAGTAAATGAAGCTTTGCAGTAACATATCTGTATGTGGAATTGTTCTTTGTTAAATATTTTACTAAATACTGACCTAATCTGTAAATGCTGTAATAAAGCTGGAAAAAGTGATGATTTTTAAACACGCACAGGCTTCAAAATCCAACTCCCCACATTTAGTCCCAGGTCGTAAAATTAATCATTCATAGGGGTCAACACCGAGGAGGGTGCACTTTCCTACCAGGTACCACCACCTGCAGATCCTCTTGTCCCGAAAGTTCATTACTCCTACTGCCAAACCATTCTCTCTTTTGATATCGAGGTATAGTAGCCTGGAGTCATGAAATTCACCTCTACGATATATGTGAATCTCCGAATGCCTTTGAAGTCCCCGCTGCAAGCACATCCCAACCGAGCGAGATCTTGCAGACCCTCAAGTTCTCGGATACCGGTCTTGGTCTAGGAAATCTCTAAATGCGAGACTTTGCCTCACTGCTAAATGCATTGTGAGCTGCCATTTGGGTCTCCAAAGATTCAGACATCAAAATTATCAATATATTGAAGATCGTAATATTAACCAGTGTTGTCCTGCATTAACTTTGGTTAACAAATCTGCCTAGCATCCAGTCTATGTACCTAATGATGAGTGTATAAGAATACCCTCATTTTTAGGTGTACGCTTTTAGGGGGACGGGGGTCTGAAAAAGTATCTTTGTATGCTTGTGGAAATGTTGAAAATGTTTAACCATCCGTAACTACTGAATTCCCAGAAAATAAGCTGCCACATTTTGTCCAGGTAACCCCCCCCCCCGGGTGGTCCCTGGGCAAGTGGGAAGTTTTGAAGTGAACCTGGACAGTAACCATGGCCATCCGACACTGGAAACCCTACAGTTTTGGAGGATCCTTTCTCATGTTCTCCCATAGATGTCAGTTTCCTGGTCTGCCTTGCTTGCAACAATTTTTCGGGTCCAGAAATATTGATGCTGTAACAAGGAGCAGTGATCCACAGTCTCTGAGATCTCACAAAGTCCCTCAGAAATAAGCTCTCAATAATGGTATCAGTCTACAGATACCGGGTGGCCACTTCGACCCTCAGACAACTCAGCTCTCTTGAATGTAGCGCCAGTTAAATCTCGAGCGGTCATTTGGAGTGGATACCATCTCTGCAACCCTCTCTGACACAACCCAAAACGACAATGGATGGTGGACCACAATTTTTGTTGTTCCACATATGTACCTTGATGGACAACTTTTCTATAGGATCTAGGGCCCACCTTGTCTGCTGGATCGGATGGGACTTTACCATCTTCTCAGCCTCTCCTCTTGTCGGAGAGCAGACTGTGGGACTTCAAGGTACTCATGTAATGATAGAAGATAATAATATCTATAGGGTAAATGGGAAATTACCCTATTACCCTATTAATGAGATGTTCATATAACGGCATGCCAAATAGTCATGAAGATGAACAAACAACCTACAACTTCTCACATGGAAGGGATGGTTTTGGTGCATAAAGAGCCCTAATGTGGAGAGCACAAACCAGAGAGGTCTTTTGCGATGACTAGGAAACACCTGGTTGCTTTGACTGTAACAAGGTCGTGTTACTGCACTAACCTCTACGGAACAGGCACTGTGATGTGCGGACGATAGCTTAGCAAGAGAGGCTAACACACACACTCCACTTTTTGCACCAGGTTATCCAGTTAGGCTCACACACTCCACATTTTGCTCCAGGCTATCTAGTTAGGCTCACACACCACTTTTTGCACCAGGCTATCCAGTTAGGCTCACATTGGCTCCAGGCTATCCAGTTAGGCTCACACTCCACTTTTGGCTCCAGGCTATCCAGTTAGGCTCACACACTCCACTTTTTGCACCTGGCTTTCCAGTTAGACTCACACACTACACTTTTTGCACCAGGCTATCCAGTTAGGCTCACACAGTCCACTTTTTGTACCAGGCTATCCAGTTAGACTCACACTCCACTTTTTACACCAGGCTATCCAGTTAGGCTCACACACACCACTTTTGGCTCCAGGTTACCCAGTTAGGCTCACACACTCCACTTTTTGCACCAGGCTATCCAGTTAGGCTCTCACACTCCACTTTTTGCTCCAGGTTATCCAGTTAGGCTTCCTTTTGCACCATGCAATCCAGTTAGGCTCAAACAATCCACTTTTTGCACCAGGCTATCCAGTTAGGCTCACACACTCCACTTCTGGCTCCAGGTTATCCAGTTAGGCTCAAACAATCCACTTTTTGCACCAGGCAATCCAGTTAGGCTCAAACAATCCACTTTTTGCACCAGGTTATCCAGTTAGGCTCAAACAATCCACTTTTTGCACCAGGTTATCCAGTTAGGCTCACACACTCCACTTTTGGCTCCAGGATATCCAGTTAGGCGCACACACTCCACTTTTTAGACCAGGCTATCCAGTTAGGCTCACACACTCCACTTTTTGCACCAGGTTATCCAGTTAGGCTCAAACAATCCACTTTTTGCACCAGGCAATCCAGTTAGGCTCAAACAATCCACTTTTTGCACCGGGCTATCCAGTTAGGCTCACACACTCCACTTTTGGCTCCAGGATATCCAGTTAGGCGCACACACACTCCACTTTTTGCACCAGGCTATCCAGTTAGGCTCACACACTCCACTTTTTGCACCAGGCTATCCAGTTAGACTCACACACTCCACTTTTGCACCAGTTAGACTCACACACTACACTTTTGGCTCCAGGTTATCCAGTTAGGCTCACACACTCCACTTTTTGCACCCGGCTATCCAGTTAGGCTCACACACTCCACTTTTTGCACCAGGCTATCCAGTTAGGCTCACACACTCCACTTTTGGCTCCAGGCTATCCAGTTAGGCTCACCACTCACTTTTTTTGCACCAGGCTATCCAGTTAGGCTCACACACTCCACTTTTGGCTCCAGGCTATCCAGTTAGGCTCATACACTCCACTTTGTGCACCAGGCTATCCAGTTAGGCTCACACACTCCACTTTTTGCACCGGGCTATCCAGTTAGGCTCACACACTCCACTTTTTGCTCCAGGCTATCCAGTTAGGCTCACACACTTCACTTTTGGCTCCAGGTTATCCAGTTAGGCTCACACACTTCACTTTTGGCTCCAGGTTATCCAGTTAGGCTCACGCACTCCACTTTTTGCACCAAGTTACCCAGTTAGGCTCATACACACTTTTATGCACCAGGCTATCCAGTTAGACACACACTCCACTTTTGGCTCCAGGCTATCCAGTTAGGTTCACACACTCCACTTTTTGCACCAGGTTATCCAGTTAGGCTCACACACTCCACTTTTTGCACCAGGTTATCCAGTTAGGCTCACACACTCCACTTTTGCCTCCAGGCTATCCAGTTAGGCTCGCACACACCCCACTTTTTGCACCAGGCTATTCAGTTACGATCACACTCCACTTTTTGTACCAGGCTATCCAGTTAGGCTCACACACTCCACTTTTTGCACCAGGTTATCCAGTTAGGCTCACATTCCACTTTTGGCACCAGGCTATCCAGTTAGGCTCACACACTCCACTTTTTGCACCGGGCTATCCAGTTAGACTCACACACTCCACTTTTTGTACCAGGCTATCCAGTTAGGCTCAAACAGTCCACTTTTTGCACTAGGTTATCCAGTTAGGCTCAAACAATCCACTTTTTGCTCCAGGTTATCCAGCTGGGCTCTCACACACCACTTTTTGCACCAGGTTATCCAGTTAGGCTCACGCACTCCACTTTTTGCTCCAGGTTATCCAGTTAGGCTCACACACTCCACTTTTGACTCCAGGCTATCCAGTTAGGCTCACACACTCCACTTTTTGGCTATCCAGTTAGGCTCACACACTCCACTTTTTGCACCAGGCTATCCAGTTAGGCTCACACACACTTTTGCACCAGGCTATCCAGTTAGGCTACACACTCCACTTTTGCACCAGGCTATCCAGTTAGGCTCACACACTCCACTTTTTGCACCTGGCTATCCAGTTTAGGCTCACACACTCCACTTTTTGCACCAGGCTATCCAGTTAGGCTCACACACTCCACTTTTTAGACCAGGCTATCCATTAAGGCTCACACACTCCACTTTTGCACCAGGCTATCCAGTTAAACACACACTCCACTTTTGGCTCCAGGCTATCCAGTTAGGCTCACACAATCCACTTTTTGCACCAGGTTAACCAGTCAGACTCACACATTCCACTTTTTGCACCAGGCAATCCAGTTAGGCTCACACACTCCACTTTTGACCAGGCAGTTAGGCTCACACACTCCACTTTTTGCACCAGGCTATCCAGTTAGGCTCAAACAGTCCACTTTTGGCCCCAGGCTATCCAGTTAGGCTCACACACTCCACTTTTGGCTTCAGGTTACTCAGTTAGACTCGCACACACTCCAAGTTATCCAGATATGGGAGGTGGGAGTAAGAAGGCACTTGGCTAAACGAAAAGTAATCACTTCGCTAACCAGCCTGACCCGAAGTGGAAATATCAATAAATATCCCATATTTTGTTTCTCTCTTCTGCAGAATCGGGATGGGACATGAATTTCATATAATCTTTCAAAAACCATAGCTCTTCTGTTTGGCCAAATACCCACCAGTAGAAAAGGGACTGATCCTTTCTCTACAGATGGGTATCCCAGTTCTGCTACGTGTTTTGGCCTCCAGAATGCATACCGATACGAATGATATCGTTTGGTAAGTTATATGACGAAATAGTTAATGTTCACTGATAATCTTTGGATTGCTTTCTCGATGCCTCCTTTTCCCCTTCAGTTTCTCTCATCTTGCTCCTTGTTCCTCCATTCCTTTGTTTTTTTTTTCCATTGCTATGAGTATATTCTAATTTATTTTGAAAAATTGACATTCATTTATTTTATTACTAGAGAATAATTGTTGTCTCTCTTTTTTCCCATTCTCCCTCCTCTCTTCTCTCTTCTCTTCCCCTCTCTCTCTCTCTCCCCCCTCTATCCAACAGTGAACTTTATTGGTTTGCTTATATTCCAGACCTGACATTAAGGAAAAGGACTCTGATTCTAGACTTGACCATTGGACTATTCGCGGACAAATACTAGTACAGGCAAAAGCCGAGGAAAGCGCAGGG